AGACTGCAAACAAAAATTTCAGTTCCCAGTTGGCTCTGTCCACTGGTTTACTGACTTATTTTGGATGCTGCTGAAGTGATCCATGGTAAAGGCAGTAGATAGCTCCAGGAATTTGTGCAGGCTATAGAGTCAGTTGTGGCTGCTGGTTCAAATCCAGAAGGCCTGCATGGGAACACAACAAAGTTGATAGCATGACTTCAGCTGTGTGGTATGAGTTTACCTCCCTGGGTGTAGGTGACAGCAGCAGAAATAGCATTAATTAGTCCGCTTTGGCATCTCAGCCAAGGTCTGACATGGCAAAGCAGGGAAGCCTACTGTGATGCAGGCTGATCTGGGCTTGCACCGTGGGTAAAAAAATAGGTTCTACTTCCCAGGTCCAATCCAGTTTTTATTAGCACTGTTGCTATGATGCCAAAGGAAATCTAAGATTGCTGCTTAATAACTACGAAGAATAACAAGAAAGCATCAGACTTGGTAATTGGTTAGAGATAGTATCCTGGGAAGACAGGGACAAAAGGCAGTGAACTGTAACCGGCCACACAATCGAAGGTAACAAGCACTCAGCAGTGGATTAGCAACCAAGGCAACATTTGTAATTTAACTAGAGCATTCACAATAATTTAACCACATTATCCAGAACACAAAGCTAATGGTGATATAGTGAATGAAGGCAGAATAAGGTAATATTCCAAAAGGTTGTAAGTGCCAGCACATAAAAGAATCTTCATGGAAGAGGATAATGTTCAGTTCTTTTGTTCTTGGTTTCTTGTTTCCTGAAGAACATAAAAGGCAAGTGTTTAGGTTTTCGAAGTTGTTATTTGTTAGCCATGAAGGAAAGATGGGTTGTTTCAGAAGTTCCTGTTGGCAGCAGACTTACAGAGTGTGACAGGCCGACACATTTTGCTGTCTTTGAAAACTGAATAACAAATAGTTTTGCTGTATACAAGTCAGAAGTGAAGGAAGGGATCTGAGCTGCAGAGCACTCTCCCAAAATATACACACTGTTCTCTGCAAACTCTGCCTTCATCTAAGTTAACAGAAGGTTATAAATCATCCTAATTCATGGAGGTTGCAAAAAAAAGTATGAAGTGAGAACATAGGAATGCTATTGCTCAGAAGAGGGTCTCAAAATTTATTTTATCGCTTGCCTACAGACAGCATTGTACCACTGTGATTAAAATGGTTAAACCTCTCTCTAAGGATTACACTCACTACTTTATTGCTGAAGATGCTAGTTTGAATAAGATCCACAATCGTACTGTGTTGAATTCTCTCACTCTGGGAAGTCAAATCCTTTTCTAGAAGTGACAATGTAAAATGGGTGCTGCTTTTACAGCAGAGGTGCTTTGTGTATGTATTCATAGGCAGAGCTTTCACTTTACTGACAAAAAGAAAAAGGATTTTTACAATCCTTTACTTGCACTAGCATTGAGAAGTCCATAGAGTTAGGAAAAGATGAATTAGATTCATTCGTGACTCGTGTCCTGTTTGAATCACTACTGCAAACTCCTGTTGCAGCAACAAATTCTGTTAATTGTGTTGTGCAAACTAGCTACACAGCCTGAAATGAAGGAAAATTTAAACTCCTGTGGAAAACACATATTTATGAATACACAGTGTGTGCTGCTCTCAACTTCAAGTTGCAGTGGCCCACCAAATCAACTCTGGCATAGTTTTGGAGCCCTATGAATTCCCTTTGATCTGGAAACTATACATATCCCAGGTGCTCACCAGCTGCTGGGGGTATTTTGGTTAGCCTTTAGCTAATTCTAAGCACACACTGAAGAGAATGATTTCTGCTTCTATTGACAGCATCTCTTTGAAGGAACTATATTTATGAAGCCCAGTGGATTCATTAGGGTAGCAGTGGGGGTGGAACTGTAATACATAGTTTTTGCTCAGTTTATATGCAAAAACTATGTCAAGCCAGATTTCCTTCGTGGGAAGCACATGAGAAATGATCCAGAGAGTCTGGATCCTAATGTGCCTACATCCTTAGGTATATTATGACTGCTGTTGCTAAATTTATATTGCTCATGCCAGGCAGAAGACTAGCCCAAATTATCCAATCTAAAGGATGACAAAAAGTCAACCCTACAGAGGTACTAAAAGGCTAGATTTGTCTTTGTTCCACAAAAATGCAGTATGAACTGCACCACTTATCACTTTTGGATTGGAAGCCTCATCTACATAACAATGCAGCACAGTCATCAATAAAGGCCTCCAGAGCATCTTTTCTGAGCTAACAAAAATATTAGGCATGTTATTAATTCCATCCATTGTGCACACTGGCATGAGAAATGGTTATTTGTACACCTTACCTTTTGAGTTATTTTATATTCTGTTCCAGTTCATATATAAGCGAAACCTACAAGCATTTCCTGCCTTGAGCCCCTATCTTTGTGTTGGTGGTCTTTAGGTCAGATCCTACGAAAAGCTGAATAACCATATTCACAGCGAGAACAAAAGCCTGGCTGAGCCCATTGCTTCAAAATACGAAATCTAGTCAATGAGTACGCAGTGAGCTTTGCAACATATATGCAAGGAACATCCTTGTCAGGCAGTGTGGGTGCTCCCTTACACATCTAGCAGTGCTGTTTGAGCCGCCAGCTGACAAGTGCATGCTCCTTCCTCCCCTTCACTGCTGGGCTGAATTCGGTACTAGGAGCTATGCAGGTAACTGGGGAGGAGACCACAGGGGACCCCGCTGTCTCTGCCCAGTCAGCGCAGGCCAAAACCGCTATTACAGAACTAAACTGACAAACAGTGAGATCATTTGGGTTTTTTTTTAACTGAAAGGAAAAGAAAGCCACAGAAAAAGTGGCTATGATTACTTTAAATCCTGTCTCCTTAATCTCCTGTTTGTCTGTACCGGGCCTGTGGTAGTGACACTGCTCAGTCACACTGTACTATTCATGTCCTTTTCTTCATATTTTCTCCTCATTAACTACAACCTTCCCGTGGATGTGCTTGGATGATTTTTTTCCTTCCCATTCCTGTTTTTCTTTCCTCTCTTTTCCCTACTTATCTTTGAGGAGCAGAAACAAGTCTTGGCTTGATACTGAGAAAAACAGATACTCAGAAATGCCTTCTACATCTCTCTCTGAGGACCTCATGTCACAGCCAGCAGAGGAATTGGTGCTAAATTGCCATAACAGAATATCCTGAGGCATAAGCTCCATCCAGTCTCAATAGATATTGATAGGCAAAGACATGCAACAGAAAAGTCACTGAGGAAAACTGCAGAACTGATGTTGGCAGGTGACTAGGGAGACCTAATTCCTTTAGATCAGTACACAGCCACATGCTAAAAGGCTCAGTATTTAGATAATGGAGAAAATAAAGATTCTTGCCAGGGTCCCATGATTATTTCAGACAAATCTGATTAGTCAGAAAGACTAATTTTGAAGATTCATAGAATCATAGAATGGTTTGGGTTGAAAGGGACCTTAGAGCTCATCTAGTTCCACCCCTCCTGCCATGGTGGGGGACACCTTCCACTAGGTTCAACTTCAGGCTACTCAAAGCCCCATTTAACCTAGCCTTGAACACTGCCAGGGATGAGGCAGCCACAGCTTCTCTGGGCAAGCTGTGCCAGTGTCTCACCACCCTCTTCTTAATATCTAATATAAATCTACCCTCTTTCAGTTTGAAGCCATTTCCCCTTGTCCTACTACTACATGCCCTAGCAAAAAGTCCTTCTCCAGATTTCCTCTAAGCCCCTTTAGGTATTGAAAGGCTGCTCTAAGGTCTCCCCTGAGCCTTCTCATCTCTAGTCTGAACAAGCCTAACTCTCTCAGCCTGTCTTCATAGAAGAGATGCTCTATCCCTCTCATCCTCTTTGTGGCCCTCCTCTGGACTCACTGCAACAGGTCCAAGTCCTTATGTTGGGGGCCCCAAAGCTGAACACAGTGCTCCATGTGAGGTCTCACAACAGCGTAGTAAAGTGGAAGAATCACTTCCCTTGACCTGCTGGTCACACTACTTTTGATGTAGCCCAGCATACGGTTGGTTTTCTGGACTACAAGCGCATGCTGCCAGCTCATGTTGAGCTTTTTATCATCCAATAACTCCAAGTTCTTCTCCTCAGAAAGATTATTTTCTGAAAACAAAAGCCTTCTTTGCTGTCCTTTTGATATATGTGATTTTGTCTTGCATATCTTTTCCCAATCAAGTAGTGTTGTTCTGGAATGTCAGACCTTCTCTGGATTTCAACCATACTACAGCACATCCATCTCTGTGATGAATCTCAGTGATCAAAATACTGATGCTATCAATGATTGTATTACAATTAATTTAAAATATATTTACTGATTGTACAAGACCTTAATGAGCTTTATAAATTCCACAAAACAATTTAGGATCCTTATAAGAAACCTAGTACAAAAAGAAAATTTTACTTATACAAAACATATCAGGATATCTTGGGTGGAAGAACCATATTCAGACCACTTATAGTGGTGCACAGAGTGGATTTAGGACTCGGGAGTGTGGTGTGCAAGTTAAACTGCATATTAGCTAGTGCCAGCTGCACCAGAGGCTGTCTTCTAATATGTTTAGTGGGAAGGGTCCAGCATTACTCTTATATCTACTGCCATCCTTTGCCTGTCCATGCAGTATGTAGTGATATATATATATATATTCATATTGCATAAACCCTATTTAGTAGTGAAGCTACTTTTTCTGGCAATGTTATAGCTTGAAGACTTAGGCTAGGGAAAAGGAGAAAAACAAAACAAAACAACAAAAAGAATAGGCAATTTTTCCCAGATAAAGAAACAGCAGTCTTTAGCACTTTAAAATATCTGTTTTAGAGGGGGTGCTCCTACAGGTCTCCTTTTATTTTTTTTCTTATCTTTTAATTACTTTTCTCTTAACATCTCCCCATGGCAAGATATCATTCTTTCCAACCCCAGGGGAATGGCTGAAGCTCATGTTTGACTATCCTAGTGCTTTTCTGACAGCTGTACTGCTTTTACATTTTTTTTTCCCCTCTGGAGCTCTTGGGACTGGCTAATAGAAGATCTCTGCAGTGAAGCCCATCTACGACATGGCAGGGACATTGTTTGTCTCTGGCAAATGAATTGTTGCTTGTAACAGGTGAAGATGAATTGGTACGGACAATAGGAAGCTGTGTGTATAGTAGTAATTACATCAGTGTTGGTGGTCTTATGTCAGGGGATCTCTCTCAGTAATATGTGCAACAGGAGGACATGAAGCTGGTCTCTGGAAAGGAGGTATGCAAGAAAACTTCTGAGCTTGTGCCAGACCCCTATGAAATCAAAGTAAGTGCCCAAGTGTCCCATCACTGTTCTTTCCTGTTAACTCTTGGAGCACAACAGGACAGCAGTCCTACTGAGAGCCTCTAGGGGCTACTGCAGTTCAATAAATAACAAATACAATGCAAAACTGCTTTTGAGTCTGAAATGGGCTCTGTTAATCTCTGGTGTGCTATCTTGGACTTCAGAGGAGTTACATGCAATGGAATTTGGCCCACTGAGCCCTTGCTGTCTGCTCTCACATTGCCACGAAGGATAAAGGATGGCAGTGAGTACAGACTATTCTCTTAGAACAGTGTTTTGTCTTGTTTTTCTTGGGGAAGAATTAGTCTTTCAGGGCTCTTTCTTAATTTGTTCCCTGCTTTCGTATAATATTATACAAAATAACATCTTTATCACATGCTGGGTTCTGCAGAGAACACACCAACTTTGTGTATATAACATTTTTTTCACTCTTTGCTAATGCCTTCATGAAATCTGTTTTTATTTGAGTTAATAAGAATCAATGTTCTACAAATTTATTCTTTCAAGATACCATATACTCTTGATAATTCTCTCCCATCACATGGGGTTCAGTTCACTGTGAAGTGTATGCAGTATATGAGACACAGCAATAGAGCGTGCATGTGAGAGAAAGGGTGAGCTTGAGTGCAGCCTGTTTAAGAAAATCCTGTCTACATGATATCAAAGGAAATTTCAATCCAAGAAGGTTTCACTGTGTCAATAGACGTAGCACAAGGGCTGCCTGTTGTTTCACAAACAATGAATCTTCTCCAGCCTATAAATAATGTAAAGACAAATCTCAGGGTTTTTAAAGTTTCTGCTAGCTTGAGGCTACCTACCCAGCATGCCTCCTTGTTTACAACTTCCAGTACAAACATACATTGTGTTTGTTTTCAGGCGAAACATCAGCTTTCCTGACTTTTGCAATTAACCTCTAGTACGCATTAGCATCATCCTTTTAAGCTGTTTTTATGTGCAGAAATGTTCAGCAAAGTGATGGGTGAAATGGTGGGTTAAGTAAAGGTGCTACTGCACCTCACAAAGATCTGGGGCTATTAGGGACTACACAAAGGAATGGACTCCTGAAATTCACCTTTTTGTTCAAAGGTTGCAGTTATAGTGTCACCCTTGGGGTGTGAAGGCCTGAACTCCCAACATCTCCAGGAGTGCAGGCAAGTGCCCTAACTACTCAAACCCTCCTGGCATTTCATTTTTCTCTCATCCCATGATTTCAGTATTTTTTTTCCTGTGCAGAGGCAGTAAGCCCAGTGGAGAGAGTGTCTGCTTGGGCTAGTTTGTCTCGCCAAAGTTAGGACCCCTTCCATAATGTGGAGGAGACATGTTCTTGAACTCTGGCAGGCTGCAGAGGGTTCAGACTCTGTGCCTGCTGGTTCCTAACCAGCAGGCTCTCATAGGAAATACAGGTACATGTCCCTTTTGTGTGGTGTCTGATCCTGTCCCTGCAGCTGAAGGACAAGTATTGTCTGTGACAAGTATTTGTCTGCATAGTTTTTAGATTCCTATTGGATTAGAAATGCTCAGACAGAGGGTGCTTTTATGTGGTCGGGAAAACAGAATTGTGGGCATTTCTAGAGCTTACAGAAAGGAAAACAAAATCCAAGGCAATAATGGAGTGTGGCAGCAAGGCAGATTTGGATAGCAATTCTGGAGTTAAGTGCTTATAATTCACTTCCTTCCAATTTCAGGCATTTTCACTTTTTGTTGGAATTCTCCAGAAACACATTATTTCAAAATGGCCGATTGGACAAAACAAAATCTGGGCCAAGGACAATTTAGTCTATGGCTCTGTCTACTGCACTTTACACAAAGAAGTTATAACAATGAAAGGCATCTGTCCAGAACCTGAGTCTTGGCTACTTCCATATGCCCTCAGCGTTTCACCTTTGTTGTTAGCCCATTGGTTTTCTTGGAAGCTTTTTTAAAATAAACCAGAGTTTTTTGAAAGTGAATGCATTTATTTAAAAGCATGTTTTGGAGCTCAGGAAGGAGAAAAGGTTTCACTCCAATATAACATAAGAAACTGAGACTAAAATGAAGTATGGTCCACACCAAAGAGGAGCAAGTCATAACCATTTATGAGCTTTTTGATGCTGTATGGGAGTGTCCACCCAGACCTTACCAGTTCTCTGAATCTTGGCTGACAGGCGTCCACATCTTGAAAACAGCACAATGAACTGCTCAGACAAATTCAGGTACTGGCCAAGGAGGGCAAAATCCCCTCTCCTCTTCCTCGTGCTTATTCACTCAAGACAAAAAGTGAGTAGTTTCTTTGACAAATAATGTCTATTGCCATTGTGCCTCTGATCCCCATCTTTCAGCCTGGCAGTTGCACAATCATGAAGTGTACCTGCAAAATGTAAGCAAGAAAAGGCTTGGAACTGTTTGAATTTAAGAAAGCAGCGAAGGGAAGGGAAAGGTCACTAAGTCAGCTCTTATTGCTGTTTGTTCCCCAGAAGGTGATCTATTCTCAGGCTTTTGTTAGCTCTTGAAGGTATTCCAGGTGCACGTCTAATCTCCAGGCCTTACATATCCGGCTGAGGTATTGCTTCCTTGCTGTCAGGTTTTGTGTTCTACAACTGCTCTCCAGGAATATCATTATAAATCCATAGCTGAAAGAGCCTGTGCATCTTAAGTGCTCTTTCATTTTCCACCTCTGAATATTCTACCATCAGAGATTTAGAACATTGGCTCTGTAAACGCTTTCATGTCAAGACTAAAGGCAACACTTGTTTAATTCATTCTTTGACCCAACAGTAGCTTATCTCAGGTTATCACTTGTTAAGCCCCAGAATGTTTTAAACATGAAGGGGGCTGCTGTGTACTGTATTTTACTTGTACAAATTTGGCAGTAGTGATTCATAAACATCAAAACCATTTCCTTCCTGTGCTGCAAATTTTGCTTTATTTTAGCTCCATTCACAGGATGTGTAACCTATTCTAGAAAAAAAAAACACAAACAAACAAACAAAAAAGGAAGCTGCATTTATCCTCTATCCAATTTGTAATTCTTTATTGTAAGTCACAAGAGCTTGCAGATTTATATATATATATGCTTGTGTGCATGTATTTATATATGCAGTTGTGTATATAGAAGAGAGGGTTTGTGTGTATATAAATATACATGTATATAGTTTGAGTGCATATGTATTTGTAAATATAAATAAGCACACACATAAACACAATTGTAGCAATGATGAATGCTGTGGTGTAAATGGAGGACTGGATTTATAAATCAGATATATTGCACCCTGATTCGAATAGCAGTTAAGGTTTGCTGTACATCATTCATCGCCAGTGCAAAACTAAAATAATTTGCACTACTCTGTGTAAACCCATCAGTTCTGCCAGCATAGAATTTATCCCTGAGTTGTCAAAAAGCTACAATTGCATTTAAAGTCAGCATATGACAGCAACACCCAGAACTGAGGTCAGCAGAATCATTCTGGATTTGCATTACATAAGTATTAGAAACTCAAAAGTTTTGTATTCTGAGGAGTCACAAGACTAACTTGGTAGCAGCCTGTGGATTTACTCCCAACAATGATGCTGTCTACACCATAATAACTTTTAACCCAAATACCCTATTCTTCTGTGTAGCTTTATTCCTCCCTCCCTGAATGTCACAACAAGACCTGAGTACTTGACACCTCTTGCTGCCTCTGAAAAAAAAAAAAAAAAAAAAAAAAAAAAAAGAAAGGAAAGAAAAAAGAAAAACTCATCACAATTGGGTGGGAGTGGAGAGGTGGAGAGGGAGCCACAACATCTTGCAGTAAGTTCCCCAGTCCAGACACACAGGGTACCAAGGACTGCAATGCAGACAGAGCAGCTCTGTCCTGGGCAGAGGGGTTGGTGCTATTTCAAGTAGTTACATCTCAACATCCATCTCTTCTTCTAGTCACCTGCTGTGACATCTGCACCAAAATATGTAATAATATAATATACCAGAATGAAACTGCTAACCTCAGTGTCTATTCAGGGAACACACCTCCTGTTGCTTGGTAATACCAGCTTCAAAAAAATGCATGCTGCAGTCCTTGGAATACCTATGACTAATGACCCAGTGATGCGGAAGTCCTTGACTGCAAAGGGCTGAGCTGTGTCACAGAAGCTTACCCAGCTCTTGTAACCCAGTAACCGATCAGTTAGGACATAGGCACTGACAGCAGCAGACCTCTGTCAGATGCCTTGGCCCTGAGTGATTTTTCAACATGCTATGTTAACAGGAGTAATGTGAAGAAAATACCCTGAGTGAAAGAATAGGACAGCTAAAGCTAAAGTTCCATCAGGAAGGAGACACTTTAGAAATGTGGGAGACAGCTAGACAAGGTTTAAATGATCTGCTTTGTAAGTGCAAGTAACAGTTGCCAGCAGCAAGGGGGTTACTAAGAAGAGTGCTTTTGTTTTGACCTGCTTGCTTTGAAACACTTTATGGTTTTAATAGTTTTCAGTTAGTGCAGACAGCAAAGCCTAGCTATGAAGAGGCAATACAGAACTGCAGAGAGAATGTGCCATGTGCAGAATAAACCCTGACAACATATATTTTTTTTAATGAGGACTAAGAAAAGGATAACAGTGGAATACACACAACTGTAATTTTCTGAGGCTGGTGATGTGGCTTTAAAGTTCTGGTGGCTGGGTTTCTTGTGAGGGATTTGATTGTGACTGGTGTTCAGGACGAAGAACCAGGGTGAGCTAGAACAATGTGCTGAAGTGACCAGAAACAAGCCCTGACTCATAAAACTGACAGAAGATGTTACCTATAGTGGGGTTTATCTCCACTAGTCATAGCTATCAAAAAGTTAGATGTCTGGTCTACACTAATCTCTCAGGCTTCTGAAGGCGCAAAGGCAGCTCCAGAGGTTAATGAAACCCAGCTATTTGGAAGGCAGCTTAAATCAGAAAGATCTGCCCTCCCAAAGGAGCAAAAAACAAATACCATGAATGATGTCTCCTTACTTTTTCCACAGCTGCAGTAATGTGAAAAGAATCCCTCTTATGACCCAGGCTGATGCTCATGAGAAAAACACAGTGCTCTCACACAACAGACATGCTGGAACTGTTAAAATGCCCTGCTATGTATTGTGTGGCTGGGGGAGGAGGGAAACAACGCTGCTTGTGTTTTGTAAAATACAATAGCACCAACCTTGGTGGAAGGTGGAGACAGACAACGGTAAGCATTTCTGCTAATATTTAACTGTGTGGCCTGAAAGATAAAGGGTTTTAAACATTGAATTAAGTGAGCAAAACACCAAGCCACAGGCAAGTTGGACTGGGGTCACTGATGCACCTGAAACCAGAATTTTTTTCAATTGCTGTCATTTTAGTTTCCTTGTGAGTTCAGAGGGGTTTCTATTTAAATATGCTGCTATAACCCGTAACACAGGAAAATCATAGCGCACTGAGCAACAAAATGATACTTTCTTTCTTTTTTCTATTTTTAAAGTGTATGTGTTTTTAATGAGGATAAACAGTTAGAAAGCCCTAAGGCCAGATGAAGCTAGTGATTTTCGATTCAATGCATGGAATTGTCCTAAATAAATAAATAAATAAATAAATCAACTGTCGATCCTCTGCATATCGTTGCACTGACGTTGAACCCATGAAAAGGGTAAGTATGTAATGCAGCATGCTCCACTAGCACTGAGGCAATGATTTATTTTCTAGAGTGTGGGCATGAGAAATTGTTTCAGTCATATATTTTGAATATCTATTTGAAGCTATCACTTTGCAGTGAGTAAAATGTGTTTTATCCTTGCTAAGCCTGCAATCAAGTCTAGCTCTGTGGTTTATCTGGCTAATGTTCTCATTACTTCAGCTTTCTTGCTTGGCAGGGGATCAGTCTCTTCTTCCTGCTCATGTTGAGCAGGCAAACTTGCAGATTTCAGTCCTGCTGGCATTTGTTTCTGAAAGAAATGGGCTATAGTGTACCTTTTGGCATGACAAGGAGATAGTGAATCTGGGAGCCTTTCCCTCAGCCAGTGTAGGACCTCAGAGAGGAGCTGATGTTCTTTTACCATCAAGATCATTATAAACAATGTGACTCCTTAGCAGAATGCTTGAAACACATGCAGAGAACTAAATTAGCCGCGGCAAGAAAATACCCCAGCCTGTAACCCCTTAGAAAAAATACTCTGATAAAAGCTATGGGATTAAATAAATTGAATGGAATTGTCAGGGTTGGTTTTTTTCTGTTTCCTTGCAGGTCATACAAGAAGGAAAAGCAGTGCTGCACCTTTGATGTAGTTTAAATAAATATTCAAAGTCCCTTCAATTACTTCCTGATTAATTAATGTGGATGCATGCAAAATGGGGAACAATTGAATGACTTTCTGGGCTTCCTTGGGGGATTGGACTTTGGATGTAGCTGCACTGTATTGTATGTAATGTAACTTTGAAAAGAGAGGAAAGTAGAAAGCTGAGAATAATAGGTGGTGGAAGCCTCCCAAACTCACTGTGTTGCTGGCTGCATATGTGGGAGAGTCTACATTAGCACTGCAACCTTCAGCTGCTGTGATTTGCCAGTTACTGTTTTGGAAATGGTACTTCCTTGCTCTTTGTGCCCTAAGGGAAGTCTCTGCATTACCCTCCTGCCTGCTTGAGTGAATCCTTTTTAGTAAAATAAACCTGGCCATGAGAAACAGAGAATATATTCAAGCCAAAACACCCATGAAGAGACTTGTGTTCATAGTGAGAGTCTAATTCCAGGGATCTTACCTAGCCCGCTTACACTTTGATCCAGTGGTTACTTCACTGGTGACTAGCTTTTTTCAGAGGTATGCCACAATCCTTCTTGTGAGTCCCCTTGTATTTCAGAAACACCCTTTCCCCCAGGAAAACAGGTATGAGTTTGTGATGGCTATTTTTAAGCTGTTACAATTGATTAAAATATTTCTGACTGTGTTGGTGAAGAACATCAAGGGGTCTATATAGATTAGCCATATACTCTCACTTTGCAGATGTCCCAGAAAGCTTTTCATATGGAAGAAGATATACATCTTGTCTCACTCCATCTTTCAAACTACCAGCTGGACAATCATATAATCTCCACCATGACACAGTGGTATGGTTCTACTTCTCTGGGTTTTTTCCTCATCCAGCAGCTCAAAGTTCTCATTGTAGTCATCACTTCACCTGACTCTGTGGTTTCAAGGATGGTGGTGTGTGTCAGTGGACTCTATAGCCTACCAGTTTGCTAAAAATTGCATCATCACATGCTATGTGGACCTGTTCTCTCAGTCTCAGAGAATCAATTAGCAACGACTTTAGCACCATGTGAATATGCTGTCATCTCCTGTGATGCCACCATCCTTCAGTGAACCTGAAATGTGGTCTTACCAATAGTAGAACTTAAAAAATTTGGACAATGATTTGAGTATTTCATTTCCTGGTTAAGACAGCTGAAAGACTGAGAACTGCTGGATGAGAGATTAATCCTCTGGTAATCAGAATGTGGATGTGAAAAGTTCAGCCATCTTTCTGTGTTTCACCTTCCTGGTATGCATTTTATAATTTCTAGCAGTAGACAGCTGCTTTAGGCAGCATATATGGGAATGCTTATGCTTCCTCTGCTTCTATTCCCATTGATAGGGCAGTCTCTGCTATTGACTCTTGACATTCACATTTCTTGTTTGGAGGATGCAGCCCACATCAATCAAAGCTTGTGAATGACAGGGACATCTGCAAAGGAAACAGGATCCTTCTGTTCTGCTATTACTGGTTAAAAAAGACTCCCTTCCTGATTGTTATTCCAGTGGTCTACATCTTTCTGAGTTGTATCAGCAGTTATATTTATTGTCTGTTGTTTTCTTCTGTGACTCAGCAGCAAGCAGGCTGAGATTCACAAGCAGAAGTAAAATGACATCAGCAGTTGTCAGATAGAAAAAGACAAAGCTGACAAAGGCATTTTGCTTTAATGCTTCAAAGCAGGTATTGCAAATAACAGAGTATGGACACAGACATGGGAATATTCAACATGGAATTTTTAAACAGTTGGCAGCCTCCACATCTTGGAGAAAGGAAAGTCACTACCTGCCTCAATAGCAACTTGTATTTTAAGTTCAGCTGATCAAAGATGAGCACAGCAGTAGCTGCAGGCAGCTATATCAGCTGCACCAGTGAGACTTCATATCAGGATGGAGCTGACAGGTGAAGATCTCAATAGCACATGGGGATGGTACATGCCCTTCCAGCCATTCTAGGCACTTCTCTGCTGTTACAGCTGGTTTCTGCATCACCAGTACTGGGGTAGCAGGAATGGATAAAGGCAGGGTAGTCATGGATCTGTTGCTACTCTGTGTATAATCACCAAGCTCCTACCAACGACCAAGTCACTCAGGTTGTCCATATGCATGCTTGCCCACCGATGTTAAGCTAAGGGAAGACCATATGCAAGCCTTTTTTGGAGCAGCTCTAAAAGCACTGCTGAACATCCTGCCCTGCAAAACACTTGGCACAGTCTAAACAATCCAGTAAACTCCTCATCAGTGCCTGATAATTTCTTTATCTTTCTCCAGTTTTCTATATGACTCGAGAGAAGCCAGAGGCTAATTCTTCCCATAGATCAACTTTCTGCTATAATTTGGTGCCCTGTTTGGCATTTCCCTACCTGATCAGATCGTCAATTATTTTCCCTTGTATAGAAGGATGTCTAAATGAGAAACAGTCAGATAAGAAGTGATCAGAGTTTGTTCCTTATCACCCAAACCAAACCTTTTTCTGAGGCTCAGTGGATGTTACCCAGCTTTAAAAGAGAGGTGCTCACTTATTTCTGTTCTTTCCTTCCACAACAGCTCTAACCCAAAAGAAAAAGGGCCTGAAACACAGCAAGGAAATATTTTTTTGCTATGGGCTTATATTCCTTCACCTCTGCTTCTCTTTCTGCCTCTCCTACATTCCCTTGATCAAGAGTCTCTTGATCTTTCTGTTCTGAAAGCCATCTCAACAAGTTTCAAACATATCAAATCATTCATAACTTCTCCCTTTGAGAAATGCGTTGAGTTCCTTGTGCATGTTTATTTCTGATCCTCTCTGCAGATACACTTAAGAGCTTCACCACATTAACATCCCTAGTCTTCACCTTGCTTCAGAAGATTCCCTTTTCTTTTCAAAACTAAACTCCAGATTTTTTTTTATTATTTTTTTTTTCTCAGGAGTGAAAGCAACTTTTTACCTCTGTTTTTCTGAATAGCTGGGAGGAAGCATTGTCAGTTATGAAGCCTCCAGTTCACAATATTTTCTGCTTGAGAAGAAGTTTAAGCACAGCCAAGGCATGTATTTTTCACCTTAGATAATATACCAGTTCTCTAAAGGCAAGAGGCTCAACAGCTAAATTGACATGGATTTTACTGAAATCAGCTATCTAAGTTATACCAGCTGAGACTTTGCTTGGAGAAATCAAAAGCAAGCCTCTCTGGAAAGTAAGTACAGTCACCAGTTGACTTTAAATTACTTTTCTTGTCAGTGTGCACTTCCTGCTTGAGGATGTCAAGACTACTTTCCTGAATCTTTTCTGTGCTTTTTTGTGGTTCTCTTTGTGCTATTGGTGTTTAAAGTTCCCTTTGCCCAACATACTCGTTTCTTTTGCACCTTGGCATTCAGACCGGGTGCTAAGCTGATCTCTATATGAAAGCTGGCTGACATATCCTACAGCTGTCACTGAGCAAGACTGAATGGCCTCTTTTTCTGATCAATTGTTTTTTCATACCCCAGTGATTCTCCTCGTCATATTGGAAGGCCCTCTAGAACCGGTTGACTTCTTACATAAAATAGCTGCTGCAGTTGAGTAGGCTCAAAGGATCCATGCCCATTTGTTTTCCATGCTGCTCTTCCCTCATGTTTTCTTCTTCCCTACCCCTTCAACAGTGACTGAGTTAGGTGGAGAGGATTGCAAGACCCAATGAATAAACTGGTGATTCCTTGACTTCATTGCTTCTTCCATAATGAACAGTATTCTTCTCTTGTGTAGGCTGAAAGGTGTGCATCAGCACTTCTGCCTGTCCGGAGCATTGCTGGGAAATGTAGTTTGGCTGAGGGGCAAAGTCCCCAAAAAAGAACAGGAAGAGGATGGACTTGGAACAGGAAGAGGATGGACTTGAGATCTCTCAGTTAAGCTGTGACGGCCCTTCAGAACTGAAGTATTTTAACTAGTTTCCTGGTTTGCCTGCTCAGGTTTTCAATGAAAACTTGAAATGTTCTGTGGAAAGCAGAACCATTTCACGAATAATTCACTGCCACTGAAAGATTCATTCTCTACTGCAAACAGTTTCATGTAGAACTTTTCTGTTGGTTCCAATTAGGACAAATGTAGAGTGCTCTCTGTGCTATCCTGGGGGCTCAAAAGGCAACCTAGCTGTTGTCCTGTATCTTCACTGGCAATACATGTTTGATCAGCTTGTGTACTCAAGAGAAAGGCTTGAGAAAAGGGAAACAAAGCCTAGTTTGCTGAAAGTCCCCTTGAATTCTCCTCAGAAATGGTATGACTTGCCATTCTTTAGGCCAGCGATAAAGCTTTTTCCTCATGCCCATTTGTTCCTTGCATGTTTATGTTGAGCAAACCCCTACGTTAGTTCACTCATTTGACTGAAGGTTTTCAGCCTTATTTCCAATTCTGGCATTGCATTACCTGCTTAAGTAATATTTTTTAATGAGATAGAATCATAGAATGGTTAGGGTTGGAAAGGACCTTAACGGATTAAAGTATCCAAATACCTTTAAGTTGGTATGTCTCTAAACAAAACGTTGTAATAATTAATGGGGAGATATACTGTAAGAATAATTATCCCAGTTTTGGTGTAAGAGAGAAAACTGAGACTACCAGTTGCTGCATGCAGAATTTCAGTTGAAAGGTTACCACAAGTGATCATAGCTGGTTTGGGAAGTTTGAAGCATGTATTAATCTCTGTTTAAGCAGAATATGTGCCTTTCAGTCCTCAAGACTTTCTGAGTCAGCGGGTGCCTTATGCATGCTCGTCTTCCCAGTTTTCTGGCTGATTACTGGAATATGGGCAACATTTGGTGGCACATAAAACTTGTGGCTGCTTTCATCATTTTGTCAAAGGGAGAGAAATAATGAAAGAGCTGCTGCAAGAAAACAAACGGCCAAATAGCTGTTGAGGCAGGAGGTTCCAACTCGCTGGAGTTCAGCTTATTACAGGCCATATGCCTGAGTGGCTCCTCTCACCAAGTGCTGCACCCAGCTATGGAAACAAGTGTGAAAACGCCTGTGGTTCATCAGGCCTGATTTGCTATAAATATGTGCAACTGCTGGGAGAACAGACAATAAGAAGCTGAAGTGGCTGTGGGGCTAACAGGAGAGAGAATCCATTAAAAATACAACATTAATAAACACATTTCCCAAATATTTATGTAAAGATGTTAATGGGCAATAATAATTTGTTTTCCAAGCTCACAGCGGATGCTTTTCTTTTAGTACACAGGTTATATTCATAAATGATGCAGCTTACTTAAGTAGGGAAACAAATTGATACGCTCTTCTTCATTTTTAAATATCATGGGGTTGAATTAATAGTTAGTCTTGACAGATATCACTAACTCATGCCCTTTCCAGCTATACCCAATGTTTGCAGGGCTTGCTGTGTAAATGAGGGACTAAGCACGTGACTCAGCTCCTGAATGATGGATGTGTTAAAGAGACTGAATGACAGAGCTGGCAGAATAAGGAGAACAGAAAGTGTGGAAGAAATCTGTTTCTAACCTGGCATTTCAATTATCTTTACTTGGCAGAGCTCCTCCTAAGAGCACTGAAGGCTCAGGCCCCAGCCAACCATTTCATTTGGATGTTAGGAAATCTTAATTATCTATCAAAGGCAAGTGACCATCAGCAACCAAGAGCTTGCTCTACAGCTGCCATATTCCCCATCCTCTATACAGAGCACTTCTCATAGTGCTTAGCTGCTGAATGACTTATTCTGGAAGACATCTTCCTGATAACATGGCTTTGCTAATTCAGAAAAAGTATTCTAGTTTCTAATCCAATCCAATAAGACATGTACATTTAGTTATTCTGGAGGAGGTATTCCACTCGAAGTTCATACCACAACCTTAATTTATAAGGGTTTCAATAAAGAATCTGGTGCTGCTTGTCTCACCCCTTCTGTATTTCTGTGGCCAGGTTGTACAGCTCTGTGCCTTTTTTCTCCTTCAGACTGGGGTTATGTCATGTGTCTAGTAGGTCTTTACACACATAATTCACAACACTATCCATAATTCAGTACAACTATATCAGTCCACCCATATTTCATAAAAAAGATGATGACAAGCTCTGTTTCATTTAATTTATACTCCCCCTCTATGTGAGAGACTCCTGCCCTACCTTTGAAACCTTTAACCTTTATTTTCTTTTTTGGTGTCCTTTGCGTCCCCCTTTATACTGCCTGCTCATAAGCTTTTTTTACTTGTGTGTGCCTTGCTTAACTTTCCCAGCAGCACATCAAGTAAGATGCACTTTATAACTGAAATGAGCTGTGCTGACAGCTCTGGTCTGCCTCTGTTTTGATTTGAAATGCTGTTACATGAAATGCTAGGAAGGTGTCTAGACATGGTGCAGGGTAGGCACCGCATGCACATTGTCAGCAGACATTACTAAGTCTTCAGTGCCAGTTGCTGTCCTCCTCCATGTTAGTTCAGAGGAAAAAAGGGTTGTGTGCCAATCTTTCCACCTGCACAGGATGGTTTTATCCAAATTTTTCTTTTAACAATAAGCAAAACTAGACATAGGAAGTCTGTTTCTTAGAAATTGAAAAGTCATCTTACCAGTTTCATTAAAATTTGTCATTCTTTGCCTCTGTGTTGCATAAGGGTCCATTAATTATCCTGCTGTCTCTGAACATGGTTCCAAAGAACAGGGTGACCACCTTTTTCAATAAAATTGCAGATTTACAATTTTCCAGCTCAGTGAATTTCTAGTGTTTAAATATATTGAAAGGGCAATGCCAGGCTTCTCTGCCTTCCTGTGCATTTTGCTGGGAAGGGGGTGCTAGAAGGGTGCATGAGCAGAGAATGAAAAGGAATAGAGGAGAAAAACCCAGGCAGACAGATATGATGGCATGAAAACCCTGCAAAATAGAAGGGATTAGAGTGCCTGAAGAGACCTGAAGTTCAGAGGGGGCTCTTGGTGCCTCCTCAACCCTCTCCTTGCTCCCAAGCAGGAGTGATGAACATTACTAGGTCACCAGACAGGACAAAGCTGATCTCTTCTGAGAGATGGTCCATCACTGTGACTGTAAGATGAGGTCCAAGCTGGTCTAATTGCCTTCTGCCTCTTTGTGAGTTGACTTGCTGAGGGGATATCAGAAGAACAAGACACAAACTCTGCACTCAAATCCAGGTAAGTTTGACACAGCCATTCAGAAGTGTGGGATGATTCATTCTTCCTGTCTGCTTTTCTGGGTTGGGAAGGGGAAAGATGAGCCCACGCAGGATTTTCCTGCTGTTGTCTGCGACTGAAAATTTGTTTTCTCCATCTGCAAAACTGAACTTTCTTTTGGCAACAGAGAACTCAGGAAGAAGAAGAGTGGGGAACAAAGTAAAGTGACTGAAGAAAGAAAACTCATTGTGATCTAAATAAAAAATATCAGGAGGAAGAAGGATGGGGGCTAATGACAAAAGCAGAGCTGGGGTCTGCATTTTTTGCCTGTAGCCTGTGATCCTGACATATAACTAAGCAACCTCTTGTGGCTGCCTTGCTTGAGTATGGCAGCCTTTCTTACAGACACAAAATAATCAAACATCCAACAGAAATGTTTCCTAAAGCTCAGTTTTTCCACTCAGTACTTACAGTAATGTTCATGCTCCTGAGGGCACCGGGGGACTGCTGGCATCCCACACTGCTGGTGGAGTGAGCAACACTGCAGTTTCCTGATAACACCTGAGCTGAGTTCCACGATACTGATCTGGAGGTGAGAAAAGACTTTGGGTACATGAATCATCTGCCAAGAGCAGTATCAGCTTGTGTCTGGTTTTACACATGGGTGGACCAGCCCAGGCACACCCCTCCTGCGTGGCAGTGCTGCTAGGGGTAGTAGGATGGCTGTGCACAGTGCAAGCTCCTTGCCACAAACTCTCCCCACCCACTTTGCTAAAACAGGTGCAGAGACAGGAGAGTAATCCAAGGGCCTATAAATACTGGCTCCCTGGTTTTCTTCAGCTCTCTGTTTTTGAAAAGAAAAATAGAGCTTCCTCTCTGGGGAGGTGAGAAAGGCAGGGGAATGCCTATCAAACATGACGAGCTGCTCTCCAAAAAGCTGTCAGGGAGGAGTTCCTCTGGCTGTGGAGCTAGTGTTCAATACCACACTCATGAGAAATCCAGGGAGTCAACTCTGTGGCCTCTTCTTCTTCCTGACTTGTTAGCAACACGCTTAGATCATGAAGCAGGTGATACAGCAAAGGCAAAACTGAAAGCTCAGGCTTTCTGAATGCTGAAGTTCCTCAAGAGAAACCCCAGCCATACTTTGGCAGAAAGTAGAAATACTTTGGAATTATTGTCAAGGAAGACAATGGAAAGGGATCTTGATGTAGAATGTCATCTGGATTCCTTTTTATTAGAATCAGAATCACAGAATACTTAAGGTTGGAGAGGACCTTAAGATCATCTAGTTCCAAACCCCTACCATGGGCAGGAACACCTCACACTAAACCATGTCACCCAAGGCTTCCTGGCCTTGAACACTGCCAGGGATGGAGCATTCACAACCTCCCTGGGCAACTCATTCCAGTGCCTCACCACCCTTACAGTAAAGAACTTCTTCCTTATATCCAATGTAAACTTCCCCTGTGTAAGTTTGAACCCATTAGCCCTTGTCCTGTCACTACAGTCCCTAATGAAGAGACCATCCTCAGCATCCTTATAGGTCCCCTTCAGATGCTGGAAGGCTGCTATGAGGTCTCCATGCAGCCTTCTCTTCTCCAGGCTCAACAGCCCCAACTTTCTCAGCCTATCTTCATACGGGAGGTGCTCCAGTCCCCTGATCATCCTCGTGGCCCTCTTCTGGACTTGTTGCAACAGTTCCATGTTCTTTTTATGTTGAGGACACCAGAACTGCACACAATACT